TTACGTACAATATGGGTCCTAGAACACTGCCTTGAGGGACACCTGCATATATTGGGTGACTTTCCGTTCTTAAGGAATTCTGCCTGACTCTGAAGTTTCTCCCCAGCAGAAAGCTTTCCAGAATTGCATGCGTATTTGCAGGGAGTGAAACCTTTAGTTTGTATATAAGGCCATCATGCCAGACTTTGTCAAAAGCTTGAGAGATGTCCAAAAATACACCGGTGCAGTATTGCTTCCCTTCGAAGGCTTTTCTAATACAAGAAACAATTCTATGAACTTGGTCTACAGTGCCATGTTTTTCACGAAAACCAAACTGATGTGGTGATATTATTTGGTTACTTGTTAGTGAAGGTTGTATTTTTTTCAATAGAAGTTTTTCAAATATTTTGGAAAATACAGAAATCAAGCTAATCGGCACGATAATTATTTCCGAAAGTTTCCATAAGTCGGGGAAGTGCCCCAACCTAAGCATGTTATTAAAAATATGTAACAAAAAATGTACGGCAGTTTGTGGAAGCTCCTTTATCATTTCACCTGTAATCCTATCGTAACCAGGCGCTTTATTCTTCTGCATATCATGAACAATGGTGTTAATTAACACCCCTATTCTGCAACTCTTTCGCATTCGGATTTTGCTACGAATCGTAGAAATAGTATGCTGTAATCCGAATCGTATTTTCGAACTTTCGAAATTCGTAACAATGACATGCCTAAAAACGAACGAGTAAGCTTTTTTGCGTAATTTTGTACGAAAACAATTCTGTGTCGGAGGCGAAATAAAAAATGTATATCGATGTGTGTTTGCAAGAAATATTGGTGGTGTTCATTTAAACATATAAATTTGCCTTTCGCATATACGTATATTTTTTTTATCCACTGCTTTATATAAACGAGCAAAAAAGAATATTTGTTGCCCCTTATCGAGAAACTTGGGTCCGGTTTAGTTAATGTACAACGATTTTCGGTTGCTGTGTCCAAACGCATAACCCGAATCCATAAACTTTAACATACACGTGTAATCAAAGGATTCACATTTTATTTAAGATAAATGTTTCAAATTTCCTACCACTAGCTTATTAATAAACTCGGTTTGCACTATGCACTTTTTTGCAAATTTCGTCGTGGGTTCTGCGCAAAAACACTGTGGACGGCGTAGCCGGAGTGATATGCACAAGAAATGTTGTATACCTCTGACATGCGGAAGCCCCTCTTCCCCGCAACACAGAAAGGAGAATTCTACTTAGTAAGGGTTATAATCCCTAAGCGCGGCCGAAGGCAGAAGCAAGCGCAACAGGATGTTTTCAATGGCTTGGAAGAAGCTGTTATTGCATTAACTGGATTGAGAACCAGAGCTTCAGCCATAGGAGGAGTTCTGGCTTGTGGTTCAACAATTCAACCAGAAGCTGACATAGATGCGCCCATGGTTACTATGCCCGACAACTCCGCATACCTTTGTGAATTCATTGCCATAGCGCCCGCTTAATCTGCTGCTATAATTGCAAATACATCAGAATCTATAATTTTCCTCAAAATATGTAAAATCAACCAATTTTACAATAAACAAGCACATGATGAGTGTTTTTTTAATTCCTTTCCACTTTGTTTTCCTTCATTCAGCTATCTTCGAAAAACAACTGATAGCTGGCAATGCTGCATATGTTTCCGCAAGGGTTGCAGCATGTGGATTTTTCGTTTTTCGTAGCGTAGCTACGATGAGAGCCTTCATTGGGTCTAAAGACTTGTGAAAGATGGCAGGCGAAAGCGTTCGCTTTATCCTCATCATTCCTCGCCCAGCTTCCATTCTGAGTACGTAATGGTGCTTCTCGAAGAACGGGCCTCTTCGCATGCTTCAGTGTTCGCCAAAGGGAGTAGTCAGTCTGTTTAGAAGCAGACAAGGACTGAAGGATCGACTGCATACTTCTTTCTTTTTCCGCCTGCAACAAAATACGTAATTCCTTTGTACACGCATTCAACTATTGTTTAAGCTTCGGAGGGCGAATTCTTTGCCATTCCCTTCTCAATTTGCGCTTTTTACTTATTAAGTTAAGAATGTTTATGGTGTGCAGGTCAGGGCAGTAAGAACTGCGATGTTTAATAGAAGGATTTGGTGTTGCAATTTCTGCGGCCTTAACTATTATATCAGTGAGATTTTCAGCTGCCCTGTCGATATCATTCTTGGTCTGAATAGGAATTTGCGGGTCAATGTGCGAACTGGCACACTTTTTGTTATTTAACCAGTTTGTGTGCTTATTTGTAAGATTTTTTTTGTTGTTCTTCATAATTAATAAACATTGATAATGTCATGAGGCAGGGTGAATGATCTGAAGAGAGATCAAATGAGGCTTCAGTATTAACTCCAAAGTCAATAAGATCGGGTATTTTTTGGGGGTCAGATGGCCAATACGTTGGCTGACCAGTAGACAAGACGTCAAAGCTTCTGTTCTGGTTTACTTTATATAGATTTCTACCCTTTGGTGTAATCAATCTAGATCCCCAAAATGTGTGCTTGGCATTGTAGTCTCCTGCTACAATAAACTCACTGCCAAACTTTAGGAAAAAGTCATTAAATTGTTTTTGTGTTATGTTATGACGAGGGGGGCAGTATATAGCAGATACAGTAAGGACACCCAAGTGGTCATCAATGTGTATTGCAGTGTTATGAATGAACTCATCACTTTGCGATTCTAATTCATAGTGCTTTATTCTGTTACGAATGAGAATAGCTGTTCCACTTCGGGCTTTACCTTGTGGATGCTTAGTATCATAGAATTTGTACTCATTAATTTGAAAGTTACAAACAAAACGTCTATATAATATCGCTCTAGGAAAATTTCTAGTTCGTTTTTATGCTGGGCTATCCCGTTCGCATTCCAAAAACAAATTTTGAGATTATTCCTAGTTTAGCTAAAATGGCTTGAAGTAATAGATTTTGATTTTTAATCGAATCTTGTACCATACTCTGCATTGCCATCATTTGCTCCTGCATAACTTTCATAAAGTTGTTTATAGNATATGATATCGCTCTAGGAAAATTTCTAGTTCGTTTTTATGCTGGGCTATCCCGTTCGCATTCCAAAACAAATTTTGAGATTATTCCTAGTTTAGCTAAAATGGCTTGAAGTAATAGATTTTGATTTTTAATCGAATCTTGTACCATACTCTGCATTGCCATCATTTGCTCCTGCATAACTTTCATAAAGTTGTTTATAGTAACTTCTAGGTTATTACTATTCTGACCAAAAAGAGGTTGTGTCGGAGGAGTATTTTTGAGCATTTGTGCATATGAAGTAAAGTTATTAACAGTCATTGGCGCAGACATTGGCTTAGCGGGTTCTGGTATGGGATTTTGCCTAATAGGAATATTTTTGGGAATTGTTTTCTCTTTCATTTAGATATAAACTGGACATCCTCTATAGTTAGCAGTGTAATTTCCACCGCAGTTACTGCACTTTTAGGATTTTGGGTCCATTTTTGGTTTCACACATTCTTTAGACGTGTGTAGATCTCCACAGATATCACAGACACCAGGTAAGATGCAGTAGCGACGTGTGTGACCAAATTCCTGGCAGTTATGACATTGAACAGGGCCTCTACGCTTATGGGGTTCTTCTACGGAGATTTTACGGTGTAGAAGATATCGCAATTGATATATTTGATGCACTTCCCCTTTCTTCAGATTGTGAAAGTCAGGTTCTAGCTCTATTTTGAACATCGGTTGAGGGATGTTTTCTATATTTTTGATGTTGAAAACTTGCGCACCTTAAAACCTTTTTCCCTAAGAGCATTTTCTTTCTCTTGTGAGTTCACACTGGCCTCGATGCCTTTTATGACAACTTCTAGTCCTCGACTACTTTTAAGTTGATAGGTGTAATAAGATTTCTTACACTTATCAAACTCATTGGTAATTTCACGAAACATATCTTCGTTTTAAGCTTGTATTTTTATATTATATTACCCTTTTTAATAGGAACCACATGAAAATTATTTTTCCCTACTAGTTTTAGGAGAGTATCTACCAGAGCATTAGAACTTTGTTCTCGTAGATAAATAGGTGGAGGCTTGTATTTTTACCTTCCTTTTAATAGCTCGGGATGTAACTATGTAATATTGATGCGCCTAAAAGATGCAGCATTTTCTATTCTCAAGCTACATTCCTGATGACAGTACGAATGGCAATTGTAATAGAGAGGTTTTAGTTTTTTAAACTACAATTTTATTATTTAACTACCTGTTGGTTAGAATCATTATTCATCGAGAAACTTGGGTCCGGTTTAGTTATTTGTACAATGTTGTTGTGTCCAAACGCATAACCCGAATCTACTTTTACATACAAATTAAACTTTAATTTAAAATAAATGTTTCAAATTTCCGAGCAATAGTTTTTTAATAAATTCGGTATGCACTATGCACTTTTTTGTAAATTTCGATGTGGGTTCTGCGCAAAAATACTGTGGATGGCTTAGCCGGAGTTATATGTACAAGAAATGTTGTATGCCTTTGACATGCGGAAGCCCCTCTTCTCCGGCAACACAGAAAGGAGACTTATGATTAGTAAGGGTTATAGTCCCTAAGCGCGTCCGAAGGCAGAAGCAAGCGCAACAGGTGGTGGACCCAACAAAGTGCATATTTTCAATGGCTTGGAAGAAGCTGTTATTGCACTAACTGGATCGAGTACCAATTCTTCAGGCATAGGAGGTTGTCGTTGAACAATTAAACCAGAAGCTGACATAGATGCGTCCATGGTTACTGTTCGCAGCAGCAATAGATATGCGAAATATAAATGTATGATATCTCTTTATATGTATAACACAATACGCATGTATGTAGATATTTATGTATATTGATACTCATATGAACTCTAAACTACCTTTTCTAACCACTGGGTTTAAATTAGTGTAACAGTAGAATCATTCGATTTTTTACCAGCGTACGAGCATAAGCATTGCACTTGTTATTTTATTTTGCATTTCCTTATCACTAACCTTCTGCTTATTATATTTATTGTTGTGGAAATTATCTCAACTAACTGTGTACAAATATTTTAAGCGACCGGTTTGGGTACAATCAATTCGTTCACCTAAACTCATTTCACTTCTACTTTGGCTTTGAAATAAAGAAAACGCTTCGCATTTATATTGGAGACACATCGGTGTTTCAGTTATATTTGGAACTTTCTCGCCCTAAATTTTTCGCTGAAAGGATTAAGAAACGACTTAATCCTCAAACATTTGGTGACCTCGACATGATATTAAAATTTTCGCATTTTAATATTTCGTGATCGTTTGCCAATTGGAAGTAATCTCGGTTCGCATATTTGTATGTACAACAGCTTTCGACATACATTTTCGTTGCCATCGAGTGCATCCATAGGTTCAGTTAATAGCGCACATAATATATCGCGGATATTTCTCAACCGAAACCACAAATACTCGATTCGTTTGCTTAAAAATGTCAAAAAAAAGTCTAAATCGGTCGACGAGAGCGTTAGTCTAGCGTGTGATATCGCGTTTTACAAAAAGGAATGTAATTCCCTTCAACGGCAGCTGGATGCTCTCAATACCTTTTTGACAAATGATCTCTTAAAAGGTTTGGATGAAGCAGATATATCGGCTCGGCTTAAGCATGCGGAACGCATGCAGTTAAACTTTGAGAATGCTCGCTCAGCCCTAAAGCGACTGGACAGGAAGGAATTCGAGTCGGATTCGGACGAAAACTTTTGCAAGGCATATATTGCGGTTGAAGCGAAACTCAATCGTGAACTAAAGTCTAAGCAAAGGGCATGTGGCGCTCACTCATCGACTCTACGAACCTTCCCCTGGGAAGAAGCTGCGGTACAGCCTCCCCAACGACGGTCCAGGCTACCTGAGCTGAAAATTCCAGTTTTTAGCGGCTCATATCTCGATTGGCCATCGTTCTTCAGTACACTTACTTCAGCAATAGATAAGGACATGGAGATGTCCAAATTGGAAAAAATGCAGTATTTGATCACCACCCTCGATGGAGCAGCTTTAGATACCATCCGCTCACTTGAGCCCACGGAAGGAAATTATAGCAAAGCATTAGATTTATTAAAAGGACGTTTTGATAACAAATTGCTTATTTTTCAGGCTCACATAAAGGCAATTTTCGGGCTACAAGGTGTAGAGGTGGGCATTTCAGGCGGATTACGAAAATTAAGCGATCAAGTAAACGCGCATCTTCGGGCATTGCAAACTTTGGCAACTACGGAAGAAATCTATAATGGTTTACTCATTCATCTCGTGACGAGCAAACTAGATCTACACACGCACGAAAAATGGGAGGAGAACTTGTCTGCTCAAAAATTACCGACCTGGCTAGAGATGTCAACGTTTTTGGAAAAAAGATGTCGCATGGCTGAAAATTTGGAAAATGCTATGGTCAATCAGACACCTAGCAAACAGGTGGGCAGAAATTCAGCTCAATCAAAATCAAAAGCAAATGTACTAGTTGCAGCATCTAGTATAAAATCAACCTCACTTTGTGTTTTCTGCGATTAAAAGGAGCATTTTATTAATGTTTGTACTCGTTTTTTAAATCTTTCACCATAATTGCGCTATAAGGAAGCAAAAAGATTTCACTTGTGCTTGAATTGACTTCGTAAGGGCTACACTGTCAAGCAGTGCAAATCGGGCAACTGCAGGCATTGCCAAGCAAAACATAATTCGTTGTTGCATATAAATGGTAGTCAAGACAGTGCACCGACATCAAGCTCGCCCACAGCTGTCACAAACAGCCAATCATTAGCTCAACAGTCAACTTTAGTTACGTCATTAGTTGCCGGCCCTACACCTATCGTGTTGAAAAATCGTTCCAACAATTGTGTGCTATTAGCGACGGCCATCGTTTTAGTTAAAAATCGTGCAGGTACACTAGTTCCATGTCGAGCCATTTTAGACTCCGCACCTCAACTTAATTTCATTGCAACTCGACTTGCGAATCAGCTTCAACTTCGTTCCTGTCACTCACCAGTTTCAATATCTGGTATCGGAGAAGCGAGTATCATTGCCGATAGGTGTGTTGACATCTTTGCTCAAGCGAAAGATGGCAGCTTCTCAACATCGTTTGCAGCACTAAATCACACGAAGCATAACCGACTATCAGCCAAACTTTGATATCAAAGTCGACGGCTAGAACATACCCAATAACATTAAACTGGCTGATCCCACATTTTTCAAGGCAAGTCGCATTGACCTTTTGATTGGAGCTGAACTTTTCTATGACCTAATTTGCACTGGGCAAGTTAGGATACCTGACCACCTTCCTACGCTACAAAAAATTAAGTTGGGCTGGGTGGTTTCAGGAGGCGTATCGCACTTCAGTAGTCGCTCCACAACTCTTTCGTCCTTCAGAAATCCAAAGCCACTAGGAGATAGTAATGACATACTGGCAAGCATTGTCACGCGCTTTTGGGAGGTCGAAAATAGATTCGCCGCAACCCCTAACCCAACCTTGTCAGATGAAGACGTTTTCTGCGAGAAGCATTTCGTACAAAATCTCGTTCGTCTGCCATCAGGAGCGTATTCAGTAAGGCTACCTCCTAAATCNACTAGAAAGAAAGCTTCAAGAGATAAACCCACAAAGCGTTTATACTCAGACTTTATGCAGGAATACATGGATCTTGGTCACATGTCATTGGCTTTATTACTAGCAGGCGTTCCGGTTTACTACCTACCCCGCCATTGTGTTCAAAAACAAGATAGTACTACTACAAAATTGCGTGTAGTACTCGACGGATCTGCTAAAACCACTTCTGGGCACTCTTTAAACGATTTCTTGCTGTCAGGACCAACTGTACAATCGAAATTTTTAACACATTACTTCGTTTCAAGGTTGCGCTTTGTGGCGATATATGCAAAATGTATCGCTGTGTTAAAATGGCTAACCCTGATAACCAGTTGCAATTCATACTTTGGCGTGATGATCCATCCGAGGAAATAAGAATCTATAAGCTGGACACTGTGACATATGGTACAAGGCCAGCAGGCACCTAGCCAGCGAGGGGGCTCGGGTAAGGAGTTGATGTAAATAGCTTTAAATAAATGTAGCGAACAGTTTGAGTATCACTGTAAGTATGACACTTAATAAACGCAACGCAAACAGCTGTGACAAGAATTACTAGAAGAAGTAAACAAAAAGAGTAGAACAAATGTGCAAAAACAAAATGAAAGTTAACTACAAAGGATACAACAATAATGATAGCAACAAATGACTCGGCAAAATTAAAATGTATGCTAGTGACATTTAAATAAATTTACTTTAATATAAAACCAATAACTTTCACTTAGCTTCAATTATTTCACACTCTGAAGCTCATAAGCACTTTTTATCACTACTTTAACACAGAATTAGCACAATGAACTTAGTAAGTAGAAAGCCAAAATCAGAGCACAATAAAGTACAACCTCACAGCTTGACGTTTGCTTACTTGTTGATAGATTCACAAAACGTTCGATTCTCTCGGTAATAGCGCGGTTCTATGATCCACTTGGGCTAATTTCGCCTGTCATTATAAATTTGAAGGTATTTATGCACGGCTTATCGAAAGAAAAGTTGGATTGGGACNTTATCAGACAAATTTCTGTTTAGCTTAACGCCAATTTAAAATTCGGGAAAAATCACAAAACGTTCGATTCTCTCGGTAATAGCGCGGTTCTATGATCCACTTGGGCTAATTTCGCCTGTCATTATAAATTTGAAGGTATTTATGCACGGCTTATCGAAAGAAAAGTTGGATTGGGACGAAAGTTTGCCGCAGTCCCTGCATTGTACATGGTTGGATTTGTGCAGTCAACTATCCATCGTTAGCAGCCTTCGCTTCCCACGCTTCGTACTCGCTATGTAGGTACGTGTACAGCTCCACGCATTTTGTGATGCCAGTTTATCTGCTTACGGTGCTTGCATTTACACCCGTATTGAAGATCAAGGTGTCATAAAAACGAATCTTCTGAGTTCCAAGTCGAGAGTGACACCATTGAAAGCTATCACCGTCCCGAAACTCGAATTGTCAGCCGCATTGCTGCTGGCAGAATTGGTCTCAAACATTTTGGAAAATAGTCAGCTATCTTACGAATGTCATTGCTGTACGGACTCAATGATTGTTTTATCATGGCTGCGGTCTTTTCCTGGAAATTTTAACATATTTGTTTCCAATCGCGTAGCTCAGATTCAATCCCTTACATCGGGCATGACATGGCATCATGTTCCTACTGATCTAAATCCTGCGGATATTCTTTCACGTGGTTGTGCTCCAAAGGAGCTTCTAAATAACTTTCTTTGGGCAAATGGTCTTTCATTTATCCATACAGATTCATCGCACTGGCCAGGAAACATGGATTTCTTGACTGATCTTCCCGAAAGACGACGCCGTGTTCTAGTTACAAGCCCTCGAATCGATGCAACTATTGATTGCAAATTTCAAAATTCATTCGGCAAGCTACAACGCAATGTACCATCAACTGGATCGCTTACTGCCGATGACGTAGAATGTGGTACATTATTGTTAATCAGGCATATCCAGCAAGTGTACTTAGCAAAAGAATACAAAATACTTAAGGAAAATAAACAGCTACCTTCGTCTAGCAACCTGCTGTCTCTCAATCCATTTGTCGACGAATTTTGTGCACTTCGCGTTGGAGGACGACTTCATAATTCAAATTTGGACTTCGAGGAAAAGCATCCGCTTTTGCTACCAAAGAAGCATGCAGTCACCAACGCGCTCATTGAATTTTATCATCGAAAACTCTTGCATGCAGGACCATAGAGTTTGCTAGNATTTCTCTCAATCCATTTGTCGACGAATTTTGTGCACTTCGCGTTGGAGGACGACTTCATCATTCAAATTTGGACTTCGAGGCAAAGCATCCGCTTTTGCTACCAAAGAAGCATGCAGTCACCAACGCGCTCATTGAATTTTATCATCGAAAACTCTTGCATGCAGGACCATAGAGTTTGCTAGCATCGATCCGACAGCAGTATTGGCCTATTGGTGGGCGCAAACCAGTCGCTAAAATTGTCAATAAATGCATAAAGTGCTATCGCCTAAAGCCTCGGGTATTACAGCAAATTATGTCGTTTCTACCACAAGATCACGTGCGGCCATCCAGAACATTCCACACCACCGGGATTGATTACTGTGGACCATTTCATTACAAACACACTGTGCGCAACCGACAGCATGTCAAATGCTATTTATGCATTTTTGTTTGCTTTGCGACGAAAGCGACTTATCTTGAGCTTGTTCAAGATTTATCGAATCTATTATTAATCGCAGCACTTAAGCGTTTTATCAGCATTAGAGGCAAACCGAGCACCATCTGGTCTGATAACGCAACAAGTTTCGTAGGAGCGAAAAATGAGCTGGAGAAGCTGCGAATTTATTTTTTAATCAAAATCACAACAAGGCAATAGCAGAAGCTTGCATTGAAAATCATATAGACAGGAAATTCATTCCACCTCTTTCGCCGCACTTTGGTGGTTTATGGGAGGCTGCGGTCGAATCCGCAAAACTTAATTTTTATCGGACCGTTGGCATCTCCATTTTAACTTTTGATGAGCTTCGCACTTTGGTCTGTGAAATTTCTGCTATTTTAAACACACGCCCCCTCTGTCCAATTACAGAAAACCCACATGATCTTGACGTGCTTACACCAGTGCATTTCTTCATAGGTGGACCACTCGTAGCTATCACCGAACCTAACGTAACACATTTAAACATGAACCGCCTTAGCCGATGGCAGCGAATTTGTCAAATGCAGCAAATCTCCTGGCAAAAGTGGAGCACTTCATATTTATCACTGCTACAAGAGAGGTCTAAGTGGCGTACATCTACCCCAAATGTACAGCAAGGTGCTATGGTGCTTCTGAAAGACGACAACTTACCCCCCTTAAAATGGACTCTAGGTCGAATTGAACGCACATTCACTGGTGATGATGGATATGCCAGAGCAGCAATTATATGAACTGCAAGCGGACTTGGAAAAAGGGCCATAACCAAGATTGCTGTGCTTCCGATTGAATCAGACATGGTTGAAAGCCTACGCCTTCAAACGGGGGGAGTATGTTCGGAGCAGCAATATATATACGAAATATAAATTTATGATATCTCTTTATATGTATAATACAATACGCATGTATGTAGATATTTATGTATACTGATACTCATATGAACTCTAAACTACCTTTTCTAACCACTGGGTTTAAATTAGTGTAACAGTAGAATCATTCGATTTTTTACCAGCGTACAAGCATAAGCATTGCACTTGTTATTTTATTTTGCATTTCCTTATCACTAACCTTCTGCCTATTATATTTATTGTTGTGGAAATTATCTCAACTGTGTACAAATATTTTAAGCGACCGGTTTGGGTACAATTGAATTCGTTCACCTAAACTCATTTCACTTCTACTTTGGCTTTGAAATAAAGAAAACGCTTTGAATTTATATTGGAGACACATCGGTGTTTCATTTATATTTGGAACTTTCTCGCCCTAAATTTTTCGCTGAAAGGATTGAGAAACTACTTAATCCTCAAACAGTTACTATGCCCGACAGCTCCGCATATCTTTGTGAATTCACTTCCATAG